TGTGGACCGTGTTATCAATACCCAACAACCTCAACCATAAGTTGCCAAGACCCCATAATGCTGGGTTTGGTATGTCATACTTCTTGCTCTCACAGTGATTTTGAGACTTTGTCCAGTTACAACCATTTGCTCACATCCTTTTTATAATTCTGGTTACTTGACATACAAAACTATTTACTTATGGTTGAGGTTGTTGGGTATTGATAACACGGTCCACATGCCGTAGCCCTATTTGTGGAAGTTTTAGACTTCTTGTTTGTAGGTTTGGCCATATTGAACATTGTTTCTACTCACTAAGAACTTATAAGATGGATATCACTAAAATAAAACTAATACAAGTCTAGATAAACCTTGAAGTAATTTCTATATTACAATATTTATTGACTAAAAGTTTACACAATTTTTATCTAGTATACATCATCATATGTTTAATGATTAGTTATACTCACCTGATAAATCTTCTACCCCAGTGTTAGTTTGTTGATGATTTGGTTCATTTTCTTTTTTCATACTTATATCCTCATGTTGTGAACAATCTAGAACTCCATCACTCTCACTGAACTTAGAAATAATGCCATCCTTTGTTGAATCACCATTTTTCTCAGTTTTTACTTCCATAACTATGTTCTAAATCAAAATAAGTTAATATTTTCTTACACTGAAAATGTATTTCTGTTAAGTACTTATCTACCCTCATAAAAAAGCTATCTCAATTCTTGACTGCCGTCTAAGCATTGCTAAATTGTTTTGCGACATTTCTGAACATGTACATAATTTGTGACTACTCTCCACCAATAGCACTGTGCCACCTATAATGGCATAACTAGTTCCCTCTGCTATTCCTGCTCATTTTCTCGGTTGGCGTGACACAGTTTAGATGTGTGTTTTGTTACCTATAAAGTTTATTCAGCAATTTCTGATTTTCATGTTTGATTTCATTTGTTTCCAACAATTTGCTTTCAAAATTTTCCTGTTCCAGAATTCTACATGTTTTAGTATGAATTCAAGGTTTCCTGTGGCGGACACTGATATTATCAAAAGAAGTGACAATGCAGGTGGCATTTTTTTTGGTTTACTCGTTCATTAATATTACATATTTTGGGGACTAGGTTCATTTAAATGGACAAACCATTTATTATTTATAAGTACTTTATTAACTTTGTCTGTTTCGATAGTTTGTACCTTATTTTTCATTCCTACCAGTGACATATAATTCATTGTTCTATTTATGTTCTTTCTTTTTTTTTTTAATGTAGTTGTTACCTACTTGCCTTCTCATCCCCCATTTACACCAGTGTCTGACTTCATTACGTGTCCTTTGTTGTTTAGGTTAATTTCGTTGAATAGTATGTTAGATATTGCTTATTTGTGTGTTTTCTTGGTAGTTTTCATCTGTTTACATGTTCGATTTTATTACATACTTTGTGGACTTGGTACACTTAGATAGTTTGTCTGTTTTATATTTAATTGGGTATGTATGGCTAGTTTGTACTTTATTAAATATGTACCTTCAACTAATTTTAGTCAGTGTAAGACTTAATTCTGTGTCCTTGTCATCTAGATTATTTTATCTGTCTGTATCTAAGATACTATTTTTACTATTGTGTTTGCTTTGTAATTTCTGTCAGTTGGCTCTTTACGCGTTTTTTCGAGGGATACAAAGTTTTGCCCATTTTTTCAATCCACCAATCTTGCATTTTTCTTTCTTTAGTTTGATTGGCTCTTGCTTATTTCATCCCAGTCCACACTCTTCTTCTCCTATAAGAACGGGTTGGTTTCCTTATGACAAGGAGGAAGTCCGTTCTAACCCCCTCTTAATACCCCATTCATTTAGGAGGATCTTCTTTCACTGATGTTAGTATACCTCCAACTTTGGTCTCTGTCCTTATCACTCTTCATTCCCTATTCTTTACCCAGTAGTTTGTCAAAGGTTTGTCCACTTCGTCCATGTCCAGCTCTTGGGTGGCCTTGTCTATTTCCTTCCATTTATTCTGGGTTTTGTCTTTCCCTTTTTTCCATTCCTTTGCCTATTGGAATCTCAGTGTGCTCCTCCTGACCTAATTCCTTCTCCTTGCTTATGGTTTGTCGTCATTCAGATTTTTATACCATTCATGTTACCCACATCCTTACCATTTGTCCTATGTCATCCTCTATCCTGACCTCAGTTCTTCCTCCCTAGGACCTATGCTGCTGGTGACTGTGTTCTGACTTTCACACCCATTTCTCACATGTACTTCCATTTCAATCCAGATAGGCTTCCTTGTCCAGTTCAGTCCTTCAAGTGTTATGTGAGATGTTCCGGCTCATTTCAGGGTTCATGTTCCTGACTCCTTATTCCCTGGAGCCCTTCAGTTTCTAGTGTTCTCTAACCTGTTACTCTCTGGTTGTGTTCGTTAATTCATCTGGCTGACTTATTTGGACTTGTCCGTGGAAGGTTGCTGTCTCCACAACTTCTCATCAGATCAAATTTGTCACCTTACTATATCTTTTACTGCTCACCATCACTGTTCTTTGAAGGAGATCGTTCAGCTGGAATGTGAACTACTCCCAATACCTTCGTCAGTCATTATCTGCTAGTTCTGGCTGTGTCTCCCTCTGGTGGGGTGCCTGGGGTAAGTCTTATCTCTTCCTCTCATCTATGTTTTCTTTTCAGCTTCTCTAATCTTAGCATCTTCTTTACGAGTCACACCTTATGGCTTGTATTGCCTGGTCAGGTATGCTTTGTCTCAAACCCGCAATAAATGCAGTAACTATATAACATTCACAGAGATGGGGTGTTTCTGTAAGACTACCAGGTGCTTTCACAGTGATGTATATCTGTGTAATATAATTATATCTCTAATTTACTGTCACTCATGGACTTCATGAGTAAAGCAGATGGGGATTTCTGTCCATCCCTGCCAACCCTTGGATTCCTTAATTGGGTTCAGTCTACTTTTCAAAAGAGGGTAACACATTCACCCATTGCACTGTCTCCTGTGTGACATTCCTCCGGGCTCCCCACCTCCTTTTCTTCAAGTGGAGCATGGGAGTCCTTAACACACTCAGTTCCTAGTTATTGGAGTGTTGGGCCATAAAGGCTTCCTCCTGAGTGTTACTATAATTATGCTCATTTATTCACTCAGATGAAGAAGGCAAAGTTCTTTCCCTACTGGTGCTTCCCCCGGATGTTTTGTGCTTTGGCAGGCCACACTAAATAAACCCAGTGATCAAAAACTATTTGGGGCCAGCCTATATGTGATCCTCCTCATAATTCTGGTTTCAGGAGATAACATAGCATTCATACAGTTATGTGCAGTAGGTGCCTCTCTTCATGTTAATTCCAATTGCAGAAGGTTCTTTCCTGCTTCTACGGTTGGGTTTGAGATATTTTGTGTGCCTCATAATACCAGCAATGGGATGTCCTCGCTCTGTTCCTGTGGTTGGGCAAATGCTGCTTGTCCTACGCATAATTCTAGATACAGGATGTCTCTGCC